AGCTGACATGAATAATCTACAATGGCTAACTCAGACTTGACGTCATAGAGACCTAAAGTTAAAGTTCCACCACCCAGAAGCAGCAGGCTTAGAGGGCCGTGGAATGGCTGCTGAAAGTTCATTTACAGGGTTAGCCTGGAGACGACACCCTGTGGGCTTAAAGTGTTGGTCTACAGGATGCAGTTACATCTTTTAAAAGCTGCTAGGCCGAGGCGGGTGGATCACGAGGTCAAGAGATCGAGACCATCCTGGTCAATATGGTGAAACCCCGTCTCTACTAAAAATATAAAAAAATTAGCTGGGCATGGTGGTGCGTGCCTGTAATCCCAGCTACTCAGGAGGCTGAGGCAGAAGAATTGCCTGAACCCAGGAGGCGGAGGTTGCGGTGCGCCGAGATCGCGCCATTGCACTCCAGCCTGGGTAGCAAGAGCGAAACTCCGTCTCAAAAAAAAAAAAAAAAAGCTGCTAACATTTGGAGTTGCCTCCTTCAAAACTAGAAAGTGTACATCTAGGAAACAGAGGGTGGAGAGTAGCTACTCTCACTGTTACATCTAACAACACACTTGAAGAACTCTTGCTGCCCATCCCTATGACCTTGGATTTGGGAGTTTGAATATTCTAGTGCCTAAGGTGGGGACTGTTTCTACCAGGGGATTGTACTACCATGGCCATGGTTCTGATAAACTGGAAGCTAAGGCTTCACTCAAGCCATCTGGGGATCTTCATGTCACTGATCCAGTAGGCAAAGAAGGAAAAACAAACGTCGTTCCTTTTGGCCACACAATATCTGAACCTTCTTCCTATATATATAGGGTACAAGCAGATGACCTGGGCTCAGCCATACAAAAACACTCAGCCCATTGCCAGACATGGTGGCTCACACCTGTAATTCCAGCACTTTGGGAGGCTGAGGCAGGAGAATCGCTTGAACCCAGGAGGCGGAGGTTGCAGTGAGCCAAGATCACGCCACTGCACTCCAGCCTGGGCAACAGAGCAAGACTCAGTCTCAAAAATAAAAATTTAAAAAATTTAAAAATAGGTTGGGTGCGGTGGCTCACGCCTGTAATCCCAGTACTTTGCAAGGCTGAGGCAGGGGGATCACAAGATTAGGAGCTTGAGATCAGCCTGACCAATATGGTAAAATCCCATCTCTACTAAAAATAAAAAAATTAGGCCAGTATGGTGGCACGTGCCTGTAATCCCAGCTACTCAGGAGGCTGACACATGAGAATCTCTTGAACCTGGGAAGTGAAGTTTGCAGTGAGCCGAGATCACGCCACTACACTCCAGCCTGGGCAACAGAGTGAGACGCCATCTCAAAAAACAAATAAATACATTCATACATAAATAACTACATACATAAATAAATAAACACACTCAGCCCCAAGTCGAATGGAACATGAGTAACCCCACCCCCAGTGACATAGGATAGAGTTCCTGGAGCACGTGCAGCCGTGCTACTGGCAGTCTCTAGTATTCAGTACTGGAGAGGTGGGAGGAGCAAGCAGCAGCATCCACAGTTCAGAGAACCAGTCTTCCCTGTAATTCAGATAGAGACCACTCTCCTCCTTATGAATCATTTTACCACCTAAACCACTAGAATTGATTCCTATGGCCTACAACTGACAACTTTTACTGAAGCTGTTGTACTGTTCTCTATTTCTGTTTTTGAAATGTTTCATAATAAAGAAAATGAATAATTCAGGAGGAAAGATGTAGGATCATCTTAATAAAAGCAGAAAAAGCACACAGTAAGAGTCAACATTCATAAATAACAGTAATAACAAATTCATAGGAAACTAGACTAGCTGCCAACTTCCTTAACATGATGAACGTTTTCTATCAAAACACACAGGAGAAATAATAATGGAAATGTGGACTCCTTCTCTTTAAGATCAGAAACAAAGAATGAAAGTCCATTGTTACCATTTCTATTTAACACTTGAGGGCCAGGCCGGGCGTGGTGGCTCACGCCTGTAATCCCAGCACTTTGGGAGGCTAAGGTGAGTGGATCACTTGAGGTCAGGAGTTTGAGACCAGCCTGATCAACATGGTGAAGCCTTGTCTCTACTAAAAATACAAAAATTAGCCAGGTGTGGTGGCAGGTGCCTGCAGCCCCAGCTACTCAGTAGGACAAGGCAGCAGAATCGCTTGAACCCAGAAGGCAGAGGTTGCAGTGAGCCGAAATTGTGCCACTGAACTCCAGCCTGAGCAACAAAGCGAGACTCTGTCTCAAAAATAAATAAAAATAAATAAATAGGCCAGGCGCAGTGGCTCACGCCTGTAATCCCAGCACTTCGGGAGGCCAAGGCGAGTGGATCATGAGGTCAGGAGATCAAGACCATCCTACCCCATCTGTACTAAAAATACAAAAAAAATCAGCTGGGTGTGGTGGTGCACATCTGCAGTCCCAGCTACTTGGGAGGCTGAGACAGGAGAATTGCTTGAACCCAGGAGGCAGAGGTTGCGGTGAGCAGAAATCACGCCACCCCACTACAGCCTGGGCGACAGTGCGAGGCTCCATCTCAAATAAATAAATAAATAAATAACAGAACATTGGAGGGCCTAGGCAATGCAATAAAGACCAAAAAAAAAATAATAATAATAATAGGTGGGCTCTATGGCTCATGTCTGTAATCCTAGCACATTGGGAAGCAGAGACAGAAGGGCCGCTTGAGCCCAGGAGCTAGAGACCATCCTGGGCAACATAGTGAGACCCCAACTCTACTTTTATTTAAAAAAATTTTTTTAAATAAATGTAAAAAATAAAACAAGAGGCATAAAAATAAGGGAGGAAGAAACAAACAACATTTCTTTGCATATGATGTGATATAGAAATCTCCAAGAGACTCTGACAAAATACACATTTTAAAGGAGTTCAGAATGGTATCTGGATATAATACAAAAATAAAACACTGAATAGCATTTCTACCCACTGGAATAACCAATTAGGAAAAAAATCCCAGCCAGGAACAGTGGCTCACACCTGTAATCACAACACTTTGGGAGGCTGAGGCAGGCGGATCACCTGAGGTCAGGAGTTTGAGATCAGCCTGGCCAACTTGGCAAAACCCAGTCTCTACTAAAAATACGAAAATTAGCTGGATGGGGTAGTATGTGCCTGTAATCCCAACTACTTGGGAGGCTGAAGCAGGAGAATCATTTGAACCTGGGAGGCAGAGGTTGCAGTGAGCCGAGATCACACCACTATACTCCAGCCTGGGCAACAGAGTGAGACTCCACCTCAAAACAAACAAACAAACAAACAAAAAAATCCCATTTACAATAGCAACAAAAGTTATAAAATGCTTAAGAATAAATCCAGCTGGGTGCAGTGGGTCACGCCTGTAATCCTAGCACTTTGGGAGGCCGAGTTGGGCAAATCATTTGAGGCCAGGAGTTTGAGACCAGCCTGGCCAACATGGTGAAACCCTGTCTCTACTAAAAATACAAAAATTAGCCAGGCATGGTGGTGTGTACCTGTTATCCCAGCTACTTGGGAGGCTGAGGCTGAGGCTGAGGTGGAAGGACTACTTAAGCCGGGAGGTCTGCGGAGGTTGCAGTAAGCCATGATGGCGCCATTGCACTCCACACTGGGCCACAGAGCCAGACCCAGTGTCAAAAAAAAAAAAAAAAAAGTATAGTATTTGTGCAGGGAGAAACAAAGAACCCTGTGGAACAAAATATAGCCAGAAAATGACCCATGCTAGCTGAAAACAATATATGGCAGAGAATACATTCCAAATTAGTGAAATAAAGATAGTTATGCTGGCTTAATTAGTTATCCAAACGGGAGAAAATAGTTTGATCCTTACTTCATAGCATACACAAAAATAAAGTATAGGTAAATTGAAGACAAAACTCCAAAACGGTTAGAAAAAATTTATAAGGGATTTTCTTTACAGCAGAGTAGAAAAGAATTTCTCCAATAAGACACAAAAAGGATATACTATAAAATTCTTTTAGAAACTTCTTACCAATAGAAAGAAAGGAAACAAGAAGGAAAATTTAAAAACCATAACAACAGTGAAAATAAAGCCACAGACTTTAAGATTCATTTTCAGAAAATGTTTTTTTAAACTTCTGTAAAATCAAGAAGAAAATAAAAAACAACCCAAGTGGAAAATGGGCAAAGGATATTAAAAGGAAACTCACAGAATGGTCGAGGGCATGTGAAAAGAACCTCCAAACTCATTAACAGGGAAAGGAAAATTAAAACAACCCTGAAAGACCACTTTACATCCTTCAGGTTGGCAAGAACTTGAAGGACTGACAATGGCAAGTGTTGGCAAGGACATGCAGAAATGGGAACTCACACATACTGCTGCCAAGCGTGTAAATTAGTACAGTCACTTTGAAGAACAATTTGGCCATTGCTAGTAAAATCAGTGGTGAACAAATCCTTCCATCCACCAGCTCTGCTTCTGGATAGGCACCATAAGCTCACACACTTGCCTGAAACGGAACAATGCCCATTGCAACTGTCTGTAGTAGTAAAAAACTGCAAACAACTCAAATATTCATTAACAGAAGGCTAACCAAATTGCATACAGTTGAAAAGAAAAAGAATGAGAGCAATATATATCACTATGGATAAATTTCAAAAACAAACATGAAAGCATGCTGAAATATTGGTTTGGTTTTTGACACTGAGTCTTACTCTTGTCACCCAGGCTGGAATGCAGTGGTGTGATCTCAGCTCGCTGCAATCCCTGCCTCCCAGGTGCAAGCAATCCTCCCACCTCAGCCTCCTGAGTAGTTGAGACTACAGGCATGCACTACCACACCTTGCTACTTTTTTTTTTTTGAACAGGAAGTTTATTTAAACAACGAGACGCCTGACTTGAAGGGAAAACTAGGATTCTTTTTTTGTTTGTTTTAGAGTAATTTATCCCTACTTAAAGACAGATTGCCCTACATGTAACAGCTACGTACAAAAATGTTATAAAATTGTCCTTGGTTTTACAATGATAAGTGAAAAACATTAAAAGTCTCCAATCAAACAAGGTATGCAAGGATTTTTATGTTGTTTTTTTGTTAAAACAGTGAAAGCAAAATAACTTATTGGAATATAAAGATAAGAGCTGAATGAGCATGCCACTAATGGAGAAAGGGGGTATTTTCACAGAATCAGTATTTTTCCCCATCCCGTCTCCACTTGATGTCAATCAAAACATACCATTGGCTGTTAAAAAAAAAAAAAAAAGCAATATGCTTGTGCACATATACCAGTTACTTTATGTACAATAAAGGAATGGGGAAGGGGAAAATGAAAGAATAGAGAAAACTATACTGTAGTAGGATGTGGTGGAACCAAATTGCAGTTTTCTAATTGAGAGTGTAATCTTGGTCTTTAAAGAACAGAGTTCTGAAGTAAAGAAGCAGGGTTCCCTTTTCAGTAGACACCTCCAGTCTGCTGTTGGAACACATCAATTGTATCTTCAGCCTCCATTTCCAACTGTGCAGGTGTGTCTGTTTCATTGATTCCCGTCAAATCGGAATCTGATCTGCCTCACTGACAATCCCTGTTGTTGGCAATAGGCTTTCATTAGTTTACTAAGCAGTGTATGCCTCTTAATCTTAAACTGCGCCACAGAACCATCCTGCCCCACCACTTTCAAATTAATATGATCGTTGTTCTCAGTCTTGACTCCTTCCTTGCGCTTTTTGTTGGCCATGGCGAGCGCCGGAGTCTCCTCAGCTGCCGCTTCACAAAAGAGGTTACCAGGTCCGCACACAAGCAGCACCAGGAGCGACAGAAGAAGGAGGCGGCAGCAGTGGGCGAGGGAGAGGGTGCGCGCAAGTCATGTGCTCCCTCCCCCCACCCTCTTTTTTGTGTGTGGAGAGAAAAAACATGGTTTTTTTTCAAACTGGGTTTCACCATGTTGATGGCTTTTCTCAAAATCTTTTTTTTTTTTTTTGTGACAGAGTCTCAAAAAGTGCAGGCTGGAGTGCAATGGTGTGGTCTCAGCTCAGCACAATCTCTACTTCCTGGGTTTAAGCGATTGTCCTGCCTCAGCCTCCCGAGTAGCTGGGATTACAGGCACGCGCCACCACATCCAGCTAATTTTTGTATTTTTAGTAGAGATGGGTTTTCACTATGTCAGCCAGGCTGGTCTTGAACTCCTCACCTCAGGTAATTCACTTGTCTCAGCCTCCCAAAATGCTCGGATTACAGGTGTGAGCCACCGCCTCCCAACCCCCCGACCCCCGCCTGGCTTTCTCAAAATCTTAAACACAGAGTTGTGCTATATCACCCTATGACCCAGCAATTCCACTTCCGGCTATACACCCAAGAGAATTGCAAACATATGTTTACACAAAAATTTGTACACAAACGTTCATGGCAGCATTATTCATAAAAGCCAAAAAGTGGATAGAGCCCAAAAGCTCTTCAATTGACAAATGGATAAACAAAATGTGGTATCTCCATACATTGGAATGTTTCTTGGCAATACTGATCCATGCTACAACATGGAGGAAACTTGAAAACACACTAAGTGAAATAAGCCAGACACAAAGGACAGCAGAGTGTATGATTCCACATATATAAAATGTGCAGAGTAGGCAAGGCCATAGACACAGAGAGTAAATGAGTGGGTGCCTAGGGCTGGGAAGGGATCATGGGGAGTGACCGCCAATGGATACGGAGTTTCTTTCAGGGAACGAAGAAATCTGAAATTAGATAGTGGTGATAGTTGCATAGCTGTGAATGCAGCTAAAGTACTGAATTGTACACTTTACAAGAGTCAGTTTTATGGCACGTCAATTATACTTCAATTAAAACACACACACACACACACACACACACACACACACACACACACACACA